TTCTCAATGGGTTACACAAAAGTTGGCATAAAGATGGGTTTGTACACTAGAAAATTAACGCCTGTCCACATAAAGTTTGAATTGAATGCAGAGCAAAGCAAGATTCCTTATATGATGTGTTTCTTATCATTGTTGATGTTTTTCCCTGGATTGCATTTTGATAGTCTGATAGTGTAGTTAATCCTGTAATTCCTGTTATCGTATGACTGACTGGTGTTTTGTACATTTCATATCAAGGCTGAGTGCAGGAAGAGGCAATACCTTGCCTCTTGAATGTTCATCTCTATATTAAGGAGGTCATCCTTAGGTTAGTCATTTCGTCATCACCAAACCATTATAAAAATAATTGATTGATTATGATATCGTTGTGTTCTCTCTACTGAATGTTTATGCTTTGGTGTTCAGTTCTGCTGTAATCTGCACAGATACGCAGGTCTAGACCATTGACCAGTGTCTGCTTCTGATGGTGTGGCTACCTGAGCAGCTTCTACCGATTCTGCCTTAGCTTGCCAATTAACGCGTTCACCAGGACAGAGCTGAAAATTTGAAATGGCAAGACCACAACCCTGAAGTTGAAGTGTTGGTAAGAAACTCAGATAGGTGGATAAATGTTGAGCCACATAGCTAAGAGTTTAAAGACAGATGGTAGGTGTTGGAACTTGGAAGGCCATGCGAGCTCCCTTGAACCACATCAGGAATTGTGGAAAGCTCAAGAACCACACTTTCCTAAATGGAAGAAAGGCAACAAAATCTCAGTTAAAGGAGATAAGGTAAACCCTTACAAGGTTAGCAATCGTGATGAGAAATTCCAGAAAAGAGGAAGAAGATTGTGGAGGAAAAAGTGCTCAAAGTGTGCTAGATGAGCTGTGAGCTTTCCCCTACATTCTTCTGATGTCGCATCAAGGATAAAGACCAAGAATGGCCAGGCAGGCAAGGAGAAATCCTCCTGGTAGGTCTCTCTACCATAAAACTTGACCATCAATGACAGCGCTGTGATTCTTCAGCTTAACCTATTATATCTCTCGTTTTTTTTTAAAAAAAAAGGGTGCTTCCGAACCTTGTAGGGTACATCTGTCCTACTCATCTTTGTTTATCCTTTTATTCTAGGATTTGCACTCAATAATTTCTTTGTCAGGTTGCAGTACAGGATTAATTCTGATTGCAACTTTTTTCTTCTCGATTCTGTCTGGCCTGCAGTTGGAATGGTAGTAGATGTAGTGTAATCACTGCAATGAATTGATAGCGTTGGACAGTATGAGAACCCAAGATTTATAAAAAAGCTTAATTCAGCTGGCCTCGTATTTTCTAGCTGAGCCATATTGAATTCTTTTTAAGGTTTATTATTTATAAAAATGGTGAATGCAGGAATAGAACAGTTAGTGATGTGGTCTGTAAATGGAAAATTTGATCTGCACAATTAATATGCCAAGTTGGGAATATTAATTTTTGGCCATGCACAAATCTTAGAATAGAATTATGTTTTTTTCAAAGCAAAGAATAGAATTATGTTCATTGTCTACCTTCTAGTTCATATACTATTCTCTAGGTTCATCCTTTTATATCCTACTCTTCACTATTTTCTTTATTATAGACGTCTAAGGTTCAGATTGATTTTCCTCGAACTATGTAGGAGAACTGCGTGCCATTTCATCATTAAGAAGAGAGAAATCCTCTCAAAAAAAGAAGAAGAAGAAGGGAGAAATGCAAAGGAAAGAGGGGAATTGCCTTCTCCAGATCTTGATTCTGGACAAGGTTAGTACAATGTGTCCAATATATGCATCTAGGATGTTACTTTGATAACGACAAGCACCTTAATTGTGGCTTTCAAACTGCATTGCTTTTTGACACTACTTGTGAATAAAGTTATATAGAGAAAAATAAAAAATTGATGTTACTTTGAGAAATTAAATAAAACAAACAAGACAGAGAAAAACTATAATAATAAGCAAATCTGACAAACGCATTAAAAATCATAACTAATGTCACATGGTATGTTTCATGTTCGGTTAATGTGTCATCCAGGGCTATACCTTGTATTCTTGTCATGATTCAATATCGTATTAGATGGACTGGAAGTTGAAAGAATTAAAAAATTCCTGCGAAATGGTAGATTTGATAAACTTAGCTATTATTCAAGTATATTTGATGCAGTTTCACTTCTATGGTGCAGGCACTCTTTGCATCTTTCTTGGTGGATGTGTGGGTTATTTTTCTTATAACTGCATTTTGGCTCCGTTCGCTTCGCTAGAAAAACAAGCCGAACCACTGTTCCGGCTGATTTGTTGTGAAAGAAAAACACTGTTCTAGCTGAAAAAATAAGCTGAAAAAGACGGATTATAAGAGAAGCGAACAGGACCTTTAAAACATCTATGTTCAAACTGAAAGGGAAGGAAACTTCTAGCCTTGGTAGGAGGTGAAGGACATAGCAAAACCTCATAAAATGCAACTTTCACGTCCTACCTGATTGTGTTGACTGCTGAATTGTCAATGCATACGTTTTTAGAAAATTATACATTCCCTTGGACCTTTTTTAACACGCTAGTTATAACCACAGGCTCTGGGTCCATTGCGTTGTACTGTACACCGTCTCTGCTGTGGCTTGCATTCTTCTATAGGAGTACTTGGTAAGATCGAGTAGTATAACCATTAAAATTTGTTAAGTAGTGTTATGTTACCTTATGATAAGAAACTTATATTATTAGGTGACGTTTCTTTAGGAGTACAAGCACATTGCCAGGCTGAGGTTACATCACATTTCTCGAGCAACAAGCAATCCTAGCCGTTACTGTCCTTGTCCGAGGAATACCAAAAGCAAGCACTGAATCATTCAGGTTTTTTTTTTTTTTTGATAACCGGCAAACTTTATTAACAGCAAGAAGCTGTTGTGAGGGAGAGACACTCCCAAGCAGTGGCGGACCTAGGATTTGGTGAAGACTAGGGCGAAACTTCAGCGGCAAAAAATTGAAAGCTACACCACGGTCTATATGACCATATATATAGAGAGAGAAACAACTATTATCAAGGAAAGTTTGCAAAATTGAGAGAAATTCTTCGACTACATAATTAATAGTATGATACAATAGCTAAGGAAAATCATGGAACGTTGAAAAATAAATAGCAAATGACGTTTTGGTGCATTGGCATCGTCCACTTCCACAGTGGCGGTCTGGCGGATCAAACAAAGATTGATATGGATTCAAAGTGCTCAAACAATACATAGAACAATGAGGATTCATGAAATAGTGCAAAGTAAAATGCAATTGTTAGTAAATAGATATTGATATTTGTTGACACATTCGAAATTGAACAAAAATGAGTAGGCACAATTCACAAATAAGTAAGTATTCAATATTTGAGTAGACAAACATGAAACACGGACAGCTCTTACTAAGTGTTGTACTGCAGAGAGTGGGGACGGCGCAGACGAGCGGGGCGGCAACCGCTGGGCAGCGGCAGCGGAGAGACCGCGACTCCGCCTCCGCCGCTCCACGAGATGGTAAGTGTGACGGCAGCCGGTGGGGCTGAGCGAGAGCGCGGAAACGGGAAGCACCGGAGTCCGAGGGCAGCCGGCCAAGAACGAAGCGTAGAGCGGAGGGGCACTGGGCAGTGCGACGATGGTGGCACGGCGCGAAAGCGCGAGCGCGACTCGCTCGGTCTGCCCTACTCTCTGCCTAAGACTGCTTGTGCCATTGGGCTGATGGGCCAAAAACCGAAGTGTTGCTCCTGGGCTTTTTGGGCCACGACTAGGGCCATGGCCCCAGTTGCCCTAGTGCTGGGTCCGCCCATGCTCCCAAGATACAAAAGTCAGAGCTTCCCTTAGGCCTTGTTTGAATGTTGTCAGATTTACCTCAAATCCTCAATCCACATGTGTTAGAGTGAATTAGGGTGGAATTTAGTTCAAGTTCTACTCCAGTCCACCCCAACAGATATGGATTGATGCAAATCCGAATACATTCAAACAAGGCCTCAAGGGGCATCTGAATACATGAGCCTGGTTTGAGCAGGTAATGGACATAGCATGAGGATACAGAGATGTAGAACGAGTAGCTTGAGTAGCTAGTAGAGTAGTATGTGCGCCATGGAGTTGAGATTTCTTGCTATTTTGAAGACCTTGTCGTTGTGTGCTGCAGTGAAGTTGATGAGTGATTGGAGCCATTGAAGAAGGTCACCAATTGTTGGCTGTCTGTTAGGAAGATTCGACTTGGAATGTCCATTGCAGAGACCACCGAAGCCGCCAAGGCCAAAGCTGCCGCCTCAGCCATTAGCACTGAAGAGGTGCTGTGCATGATTGCGTTGATGTAGATGGAAGAAGTGGGCTGCTGCTGAGCGTTGACGATGAACACACCGAGACCAGCAACTCTGGAGACCTGCTGACTGCTGAGGAAGCTCTGGAGTCGTTGAGGCGTCAGTGTAGCGTCTTGTGCCGGTCAAAAGCGCCGGTAGTAGTACCCTGTACAATGGTGGGGACGCCAAACTCGTTGTTGGCGGTGGTTGTCGCCGCAGGCCACAGGGGTTAAGGTCGTCGACAGGTGCACCTGCAGTCTGGAAATTCATACCTTGACTTGGTTGTTACCAAGTACCGTGCATCAAGTTTGTATCCACCGATTCTTTTTAAATATAGAAAATGATGAAACCGCATTGGAAACAAATTCTAACCAAGCAGGAAGATAATTTAAACGATTTTGAGAAGTGAGAGAGTAAAAAAGGTCTTATTTAGAGAAGGGAATGATTCTATTCTTTTTTTTAGCAGAGAGAATGATTCTATTCTAACACAATGATTCGAGATAGAAATGATTAATCTGGGCCCATTTCGTACACAGCGCTCTCTCGCTCCAGCAGCCCGGCCTCGCCAACGGCCCAACGCGGCCCCTGCCCGAACAGCCCTCCCCGGCGCTGGCGCGATCGCGTAGGGCGCACGCAGCACTGCAGCCAGAAACGGCTGGTCCGTGCTCCAAATACGAAGTATTATTTTTTTCCCCGCGCAGAAGGTTCCGGAAGCAATGGACGCTTCCGGATACAAGGCGTTCCGTTCTCTCCAGCTGCGTATAAATTCCGTCCTCCGTGACCTCTCCCGCACCGCGCACCGTCTTGGGCTGTCGGCCTCGCGCTTCCAGAGGCTTCCTCCCCACTCCCCAGTCAGCCCCCGTCCCCGTCTCTCTCCCTTCCTCCCGACACAGTTGAGAAGTTAGCACGATGACTCATATCCTTGGCCACACTTGATTTTCTTCTTCCCCTCTCTGTTTTTGTTCCTGTCGATTCTTGCAGGGCTTTTCTTTTCGTCTCTCTTTTAGGTCCTGCCAGATTCTATTTCTTTTTGATGTTTTCTGTTGTAGTACCGGTGTGTTTCGGATGATGTTGCTGTTGTCCTTGACCTGAGCTGGGCGGCTGCACGCGGCGACCAGAGGGAGCGCGACCGGCAGAGGGCGCAGGCGCGGCGGCCCGTGGCCAAGGGGCGCGGCGACGGGCTCACCCCGGAGCAGCGGCGGGAGCGGGACGCCAAGGCGCTGCAGGAGAAGGCTGCCAGGAAGGCGGCGCAGGCCGCGGGAGGCGGCGGCGGAGGCGGCGGCGGAGGCGCCGACGCCAAGGGCGGCAAGAACGCCAACGGCAAGAAGTAGCAGCCGGGATCTTCGGGGATTTGCAGGAGGTTTCTCCTGATCTGGCGAAATTGGTTGGGCCGTCTTGGCAGTTTTAGAAGATGGTGATGGAGAAAGCTCTGCAAGTGTTTTGCTTTGCAAGTGTTTTGCAAAAACGTAACGATACCTGAGCAGAGCTGAAACAGAGGTTCACAGTAAAATTTATGCAAGTATAGTAAAGATTAAAAAGAAAAAACAATGCCCGTTTGAAGGTAATTTTATTTACAAAAGGATGAGCTCATTGCCCATCAAAAGTTAACGAACATCGGCAACCAAACACACGTTCCCTCCAACGGGCATGAAGCCTTATGAAACAACTTCATATTCACAGCGGTTTCAGTTCAGTATTTACAAATTACAGTTTACCACTACAACACATGATCTTTCTTTCTTTTTTTATGAGCTGTGCTTACTTTTTTTCCGTGTAAGATTGCGTATGTTTTTGTAGCCCACAACCACGAGCAGTAACCAATAAATAAAGATCACTCGCTGCACGGTCGACTCAATCGACATCAGAAGCCTCTTGATCACGTGCACTGGTCCATTTCGCTACACGGCCGTCCCAGGATGAGCTCACAAGCGTGGGCTCAAATGGGTGCCAACTGCAGTCACGAATCGCCATTTGATGCCATTTCAGCTTCGCAACTTGCGATCCACTTACCTGCAACACGAAACGAAACCGAGAATCAACTGGCATTGTTTATCACTAGTAACTGGTGTTCTGTATTTTCATCAGATCATCGTGCACAATTTCTCGGCAGGTAAAACGAAGTTCTCTATCCACTGCTGTGAAAAATGGCATACGAGTACATTCGTCGAGCAGACAGATTACCACCAAGGAATGCTACTATGGTATGAAGTGCGTGTCGGGACGAAACATACCACATCATAGATGTGAACGCAGGAATCATACGACCCTGTATATATGTACTTTTGCCCAGTGCTGCAGAAACAAAAATTATACATCAATGAGGTGAGCACCTAGATATATATACTGCATAACTGGATAAATAGCACTTGAAAAAATCGAAATCCTTTTGGCTGCTCGTATGATAAGGAGACGTTACTAGTAGAACTGTCAATAAAATCATACCAGAATGGAGGTAAAAGGGTCACCTGTAAGCAGGAGAAAAGTAGCAACGGATCAATGTCCGGAGGACTGAATGTCCACGGTATGTCGCTAATGACTGATCATGCGGATGCTTTAACTGTTTATGCTGCTGCGGATACCTTGAATATCTGTAGTCCCAAGTTGGGGCTCCATCTGCACTACTGCATAGAAGAATAGAGTAATTTTATACTGTAAGATGGCCACTTAATCTTAAGGTTGAGCAGCTCCTTTAAGATAAGAAAATGGAGTCGGCAAACTGGCCGCTGTTGAGGGTGGCAACACATAATCCTCGTGTACATCAGACACATTTGGCATTGGTGCCTTAACACACTGTCATTCCACCTCGTACACATGGAGTAATGTGGGTGGTATTATGATCATATGCCCATAAATCATTGTAAGCACATTTACAATGACAAAAAGGAGCAAAGCAGAAAAGAGAGAGCAAAATGTGCCACATATTGTATATGAATTTATGTTGGTAGAAGAATGCGGATGGCTAGGTGGAGTGGTGGACTTATATTTAGATTCAGAGAAAGTACCTATCAGCATTGGACGTCATTTTCCTGACATCCCACAGTTTGGTTAAATAAAACTGGATATATACTCTATTGACTACAGTTTGTTCTTGTTTGGCTATTTGTGCAGGAGATGCGGGCTTTGCAGAGAGCTGCAAGGTGATGTCAAAAGAAAATGAGAAGCTTGAGGTAACATCTATGGTAATAATTTTTAGGTTCTTTAGTTGTATAAGGGAAAAAGTCTACGTAACCCCCTAACCTATTGCAACCTGACTACTTCACCCCCCAACCTATAAAACCAGGTATGTAACCCCCTCACCTTTGCAAAACTGTTCAAATAACCCCCTATGGTGGTTTTGCATAGCAGTTTTGCCACGCTGGCGCGTTGAGGTTGACTTTGATGCTGACGTGGACGACTGACAAGTGGGACCCGCTTGTAAGTGGGTGAGTCTTCTCCTCTTAGGGGCTCACCATAGAGGGGCGCCGCTGCCACGTTAGTTGGCTGCGCAAGCACAGGAGCAGAGGCACATGCGGAGGCTTGTGCCTGCTGCCGTTCGGGCTGCTGCTTGCATGCGCGTGGTGCCGGGCGCCTGCTGGAGAGAGAGAGCAAGCGCGCGGGTGCTGCTGGTCTCCTGCCGCTCGGCAGCTCCTGCCGCTCGCATGGGAGCCGCCTGCTGCCGCTGTTTTTCTGCGCCGCGCCGTTGCTGCCCACTGTTCGCCCACCCAGGAGAACGAAGGCGACCGCCTGCTGCTGCGCCAGACGTGTACCTGGGCATGGCCTCATCGTAGGAGCGCGCCTCCACCATGGCCACGGAGCCGGGAGCTCCCGGAGGCGGAGCGGCCTTGCCATGGCCAGGTCGTAGCACGGCACCAGCATCGGCCGTGGGAGGCCCCTAACCGGCCGCGGGAGGACACCGCCGGCAGCCCGACTCTCGTCGCCGCCCGAGCTCGCTGTCCATCAGCGGCCGCAAGATGCTCAGCTCGGTGAGCACCGTTCTCTGCCCTTCCTCTGCTCCAGCCGAGGTCCCCATGGCCTCCTTCGTAGCACGCTGCACCTGTCGCACTCCTCTTCGAGTCGAGCCGCCACCGTTCCTGGCCATCTACCGCGTGCGCCGTCGACGCCCCCAACCGTGCCCGCCAAGGCATGTGACCCGACCGCCCCGGCCTACCTCCGGCCAAATTGGGACCACCCACATGTGCGCATAGGTGTGGGGCATGGGTACCCTCTCTGCCGTCGCCGGCTGAATTTTGGCCGTCGGTCGCGTGCCGGGTGCTTTGCTCTACTCGGTAGAGGGAAAGGAGCTGGGGAAAGGAAATTGGGATGCGCACGCCGGCGGTGTCCATCTCCTCGAGGATGCGCGTGCACGTACTCCTTCGTCTCGCTCACGTACCCCTCGTCTGCCGCACGCGTCGTGCCATACACCGGCCCCAGCACCAGCAGCAGCGCCGCACCCAGCCCGGTCCCGGCAAGCACATATATCATCGCACCTGCCTGTGCTGCCTTGTGTGTGGGCACCACGACTGCCCTGTGCGTTGCCTTGTGCGTGGGCACCGGTGACGGGCGGGCCTGTGCGCAGGCACCATCCCCTCCCTTCGCCGAACAAAAGCCACGACGGCATGAAAGAAGAGGAGAGGTGACTCAAGCAGGCTGACAGGCGGGCCCATGTATCACAGTGTCAATTATTGCCAATGTGGATTGCCAAACCAGCAAAACCACCTTTCAATACCACCCCAGGGGGGTATTTGACCAGTTTTACAAAGTTTAGTGTGTATAATACCTGGTTTTATAGTCCAGGGGGTCATGTAGACCATCCTAGATACGTCAGGGGGCTATGTAGACTTTTTCCGTTGTATAAGCTATCCACATGAAAGATGATAAATGGTATAATTGTTGTGGCCAGTATTATTTTCTCCCACTCATCTGTCATTGGCTGATGGGTAGGATTGTAGGATAGATGATGGGCTACATTAAATGTAGTTTTCTCATGTTTATGTAGCGAAAAAAAACTTAAATAAATATTTGGATCTAACGTTCTGTGCAAAACTACTCTTAGATCATATTATCCTTTTGCTTAATACTGGCCATCCTTTTGCAGAACTACTGAATATGAAAGGGTCAGCATTTTCAAGAAACATATTATCCTTTTGCTTAATCTGGATTGACGCTGATTTACATCATATTGTTGTGGGTGGATTAAGAGTCCTCTCTGGGGTCCTATTTTGCAGGAATTGTTCGGAAGACAAGGACAGTCATGGAGTGATTGCACTGGTTTTGTAGGGACGGCATAGATAGATCAATGTGGCTTGGGTATGGTGCCATATGTTATTTGTCTAATATGCCTTGTGCCAGTGTCATTTCTTAAAAAAATGGAGTCGTAACCTGGTTGTATTAGCAAAACACTGAACTTTCAGTGCTCAGTTCAGTGCTATGGAAACAGCTTTGACAAAGCACAATTAGCTAAGTACTTCAAATTTGGTAGAATTAACTTTGGACTTAATGTGGGCCGTAGCGTTAGCATGGGCAATATACTAGTATATTTAGATTCAGAGAAAGTACCTATCAGCATTGGACGTCATTTTCCTGACATCCCACAGTTTGATTGCTTGGTCTTTTCCATTGGATATGAAACTTCGGCCATCTCCACGACTATCAATGTGTGTTACCCCATGCAAATGTCCAGTCAAAACTCCAGCAGCTTGTCCTGTGGACAAACACCGCCTGTCCCAGACCTGCAGACTACAAAGGTCACATACCACAGCACTGCTGAAATGAATGCAATTTAGAAGATTAAACATTTTCCTTTATGTTCCCAGGGAGATCTCCGAATATCCAGCCCTAAAGAACTGAAATAGGACTGCCAAAAATCCATAACTGACTATTGTTCATTCCACGTCTTCTCTCATTCTAACACATATAACCCGTCAACTATTTTTTGGCTCACATTAGCCCGCAAATTACTAAAATTAGGACACTTCAATCCCTAATAACATTTGTTTTTTTTTCTCTCCTTGTAAAAGTTGCGTTTTAAGTTTAGGTGATGGTAGATAACATCACCCAGTATGTTATGAACTAGTTTCATCCTGTTTATTATCATCAAACATTTTAATATCTTTGGGATTAAAGCAGTTTCCAGTGCTCCAACCTAATACTAATAGTCATGAAAATATTTCATAACATAGCCATCTATCATCCCACAAAATTTCAACTTTGGTGGGGGGACGACATTAGATGGTAGTGAGGTTACCCTGTTTCAATTGTTCAGGGGGTTACTCTGAACTGAAAAATAGTTTTGAGGGGTTATCCAGACAACCAAAAACATCCTACGAAATAAAATTGACTCCCCACCCCCTAAAAAGAATGTGGACTGCCACTAAAGAAACCTTAGACATGCGTATACTCAGGTATGATGAACAAATCTGAGGAATAATTCGATAAAATATGTCAATGGAGAAAACAAATAATTTTACATAATTTAGAACAGCAACCTACCTTGCATAAAGTGTCGTCACTTCCAGAATATATGAGATGGCCGGTTTCATCAGCAAATGCTACTGTATTGACATCAGACTGGAAAGATCAAAATCGAATGATAACATCATTCTATATACCAAAACAGATAAATATGAAGTATAGAAATACTATCAAGATGGTAAACAATTCGCAGCCACAGAGCAAGCAAGAAAGGTTTCTGTAGCTGTGACAAAGACACATATTACTCCCCTCTGTCGGGTGCATCATAAAACATCCATATAGAAGTTTACATTCGTTTGCATTTGTCATCCAACAATGTCCAACAAATAGCATAAATGGAAAAAGGCTACCATGATTGGAAACTTTTCCTATGTATACGGCCTAACTTATTTTGGCTACTATATCAAAGCCAAAGTCAGCTACACCCCAGTGGACTTCCACAACAGTTCACTTCACACCCACAACTTTCAAAATGCTCTACCATTTACTTGGCAATCAACATGCAGAGGAAGTGGACAACAAGAAGAGGAACTCATCACCACCAAAGTTGAGTTCCTGGCTCCTAGCTATTTGTTCTCATTGTGCTTGTTGCTTTTCGTCTTTCTCCTTTTCTCCTTTGTGCCCCTTTCGTTCTGGTCAGTCTGGAACGCTCTTCTTCGTGATGAAAAACATGCCTAGCATGTTCTCAAGAAAATAGTCATATGTTGTAGGCACATAGCACAAGGTGAAGAGGGTGGCATTGGAGCTGGGGCCAATGGGAACCAAATTCAACATGTACTTTGCTGACAGAACCGTTGAGCTGCATATTTTCTTTTTTAATTTTTTTACCACGGCCCCAGTGCCACATTCCACTCCAAGGGGTTCACACATTGCAGTGCTGGTTGGGTTTGCGGTAATTCTGCTATAAGGTGCAAACTGCCCAAGAAGGATATTGAGTGCGGCAAATGGAAGGGACCAGAGAGGAGGAAAGGAGGACATTCTATGCTAACTAAATCTGAGGATGCATATTGTCAGCAAGATGCAAGGTAGCATGAGCAGCGTAACCTGTCAAATTGTGATAAAATTGAAGAGGATTAGTGGTACAGCAGCACGAAATGAGTCATGGGAATAGATAGGGGTGTTCAACACTAGAAATCTGCCTTTTCTTTCTTAAAGATAGAAGCTAGCTAGAGGACACCTTTATAAACCCCTTCAATTTGACTTAAAAATACAGGCCACAACCACCCATCCACACCTTTCTCCAGCTCATGATTCAGTGACCTTACTTGATAGCTCATAAGCATTTCTCCATCATGTTCTGTTTCCATCCTTGGTCAGAGCCTCTCATATTTCTTCCATCAACTTACGCTTTCTCTGATGCTTCTCTACAGCCGGTGGCATCTTCCCTCTACCCAGAACTAACTTGTCCCAAAGCAAGCATAATTAAATCTCTTAAAAAAAATTGTGCAATGCAAGATACAAGTGTTCATAGGGGTTGGTTGAAATGGGATGTTAATCAGTTCTTGATTAGCGCCTCCGCACCTGAGGCGCCATTGCCGACATTCTTCAGTGCACGAGAATTTCTTGTGGTTCATGTCTAGCTTAAAATCAACCAGGCGGGAACCATGTATGCCAAATAGTGCACTTGGCTTCTTAGAACATCTCCAACTTGTTTGCTGCTGTCCTAATCAGCTCCATAATCTTGAAGGGCCACAAATTTGGATACCATCAGCTCTGTAACCTCAAAGGGCCTAAAATTTCGATACAGGAAGGTCAAAACTGTACTTATGCAGTTATGCCTATGCTAGTAGCTCCCAAATTTGGCATGGCAGACATCATGCCAGCAAAGGAAAATAAATCAAGCCAGGGGCTCCTGTGTCTTCTTTAAAGGGCGTACCCAGTGCAGAGAGCTCCCGCTCTGTGCGGGGTCTGGGAAGGGTGTCAGTGGCAAGCCTTACCCTCGCCTGTGCAATGCGAGGAGACCGCGACTCGAACCCGGGACCTTCCGGTCACAGGCGGTAAGACTCTACCACTTGCACCAGGCCCGCCCTTCTCTCCTGTGTCTTCTTTAAGCACACCAAATTAAATGACCCATACCACTAACCTGTTGTGAAATAGATCCACAAACAAGTACAAGTGGCCCTGGAACCTTGGTAGGATCCGAAGGCGAGAAGGGAGTGGGAGTGTGGGACAACAGTTGGTGGATGCTACATGCTTATGTTATTTGTCAATGGATTACCTCGGGGGGGGGTTAATATTATGTGCAAAGCCTACCAAACATTCAGAATCTCCTTCTCACAGTGGCTAATGAAAGCAGCCTGTGCCTGCTTGGTTGGCACCTCAGCCCTCCACGAGCTCCTCCTTAGGTCGCTAGGCCCCGACCCTTGAGGGTGGTTGGAGGTGGGCTGGTTGTAGTCGTGTTGTGCCCCTTAACCTTGGCAGCGCCAAGCCATTTGTACCTTTTCCCTTCTTAATGAATGACACTATGACATGCAGCTCTCCTGCGTTGTTCGAGGAAAAAAAAAAAAGGGGAATGTGACCCCTTCTTGTCCACTGAAAGCCTCTCCCTCCCATGGAAAGGATGATCCCGGGATATCCAGCTCTGGTCTTCATCCCTCCAGCCTAGGACAGCCCTTTCTCCGACAGAGGGTACTGCATTCTGACTTGGGAGGGAACTAAGGTGGGACCCCTCCTGTCCTTTGGCACCCCCAAAAACCATTCTTCTGCTGATGGATTCTAGGGAAAACTATCCTCGTCGCTGCTTCCCAGACCCGTCACGGGGAACCAACAGAGGATCCCTTTGGTGAACACTGAGGGGGGCTTCCTCTGATGGCTGCTTCTGTCTTGCTAGCAACCTCCAAAAGGACCCCTGTCGGGACCTCCTTCCTCCTTCCAAGAGCCTCCAGGAATGAAGCAATGGCCCACTTCCCCAACACTACCTTTGGATCCAGCAATATCATTTCTTTCTTTCTTCTGAAACTCATGTCTACAGTTTGGACATCAATACTGCAGCTTGCCAGAAAAGGGGGAGGGACATAACAATTACATTTTTACAAAGCATCAACGGATTTTCTTGGAGCGATCAGATAGCCCGAGTTGTAGATCAACCTCAATCACCCGAGAGTCAGATGTGAGCTAGAAAAAAGGACTCCATGTAGATGTAGCAAATGCAATTTATTACCTCCGTCCCAAAAAGGATGCAATTATGGGTTTGGATTGAGTCAAAGTTCCTTAAGTTTGACTAAGTTTATAGAAAATGTTATTAACATTTATGACTCTAAATAGGTATGAAAATATACTTCATGGTGAATCTGATTATAATTATTAGATATCATACATAGTTTTTTTTTTTGTATGTATTTGGTCAAAGTTGAAATAGATTGGCTTGGTAGAAAGCTGGAATTGCATCCTTTTTGGGATGGAGGGAGTAGATCAAATGAAAATCAAAGGAAATATAAGCAAGAAAGTAAGCAATTTTCATACTGTATGAGCAGGTAAACGTAATGTCAATTTGTTTGCATGGAGGTCATAGACATATATTGATTCATCATTGCTGCCAGCAACAAGTTCCCGTCCATCAGAGGAAAATTTCACGGAAAATATTCCAAACGAATATTGAACATCTTCATGCTGTGAAAAGTCCAATCCATCATGGATGTCCTGCAGAAAGATGTAAAATTGTAATTACTGTTGACTAAGTATAATAAACAGTGAAGGTATTGTAACTGCTTGCAAGCACCCAGAGTAATTAACTGCTAAACAAAGTGAATACCATCCCCAAAAACATGCATATAAGTTCTTTCACATAACTGAGCTCATCAATTTATTCCTAGGTTCATCAATTAAACTGAATGGTAAACACACTAAGGGAGGACAGGTACATCTCATCTTCTAATATTTAGCACCATCCAGCTGATGGATTGAATGCCAATTTTAAGAAATAAAAAAGCTAATGAATTGGCTATTATTATACCAAGAAACAACTCCTAAATCCCCAGAGGTTCCTTGACTAAAATAGGTTTGGTGCTTGTATATTTTGCTCTATTTATTCACAATGGAAGTTAAAATGAAATGCAGTTCTGGATGATTAACATAAAAATCATATTATTGAAGAAACATGTTTCTACAAAGTCATTGTTTGCTGTGCAACTAGTCATGTGAAAGTCCAAAGCAAACCCAACTGTATCGACTGTTTGATCATAATAAACTTGAAAAGCAAATGAGTGCAAATTACAAGAACCTAGTAAGAACTCACAGTGACATTAGCATAGGATTCTCTTGCAGCATTTCCGACATTGACAATATGGATAATAGGTGCCAGACTAGAGTAGGCCTGCAGATTTATAATGAAAAACAATTATTCAGCCTGATAAGCAAGCAAAAATGGGGAGCAAGAGAGAACATTCCAGACTGATGAAGTACATATATACATAAATGATAATGATAATATGATATGCAAACATAAAAAGCTAGAAAGCATTTTGAAACGTCCAAGACATGCTCATACCAACAAACAAAATATGGAACATCATGTCATGAAGGACCAAATGGACTAGAAATGAAGGACCAAATGGACTAGATGAAGTCTAAAATAGTAAAATGTCCCTGTAATCTTCATTGTCCTACAGGTACTTGCGGTCATTATAGTGTATTTAATGGTTAGAACAACTTCGATACATTTAATCTTGGTAGCCAGACACAGGTAAGGTCCATATTGCAAAATTCGTTTTTAGATACTATCTCTTTAGATAATTGCCCACATGAAACATCCATTTACCAACTTCAACATGTTTCCACTAGAAGAACTGGAAACTACTCTCAAAAATACAATAATGAAAAAGGAAAACCTTGTTGTAAAACATGTAACCACATCTGATACTCTTCGGTTTATTCACATCTGTTGAACAGAGTTGCATATTGAATATTTCTTCTCAATAAGAACAATAATGAAAGAGATTTATCTACAATGATGACCAATGAAAAGTGAATACGGGTGATAAGCTAAACTTGTGAAAATCCAGGAGAAACTTACAAGATACCGCTGATCAGGTGATAAGGATACATCACTGATTGTCCATCTCAAACACCTAGCATGAATGTCTTTGTGTATGCTCCAGCCTCTATCAGCATCATATATTCTTATGTGACTTCCCTGAAAACAAAAAGAAACGTTATTATATTATGTTTATACATTTTAATTCTAAAAAATTCATAACATGGTGACAGAAAAGGTAAACTAAACACCGGGAAATTCTGACTTGAACTTGTTAAAAACCTCGACTATTGTTGGTTGAGGATAGCATACCTGAAAACCAGCAACAAAAAGAGTACCATCAGCAGAAAACTGTGAAACGTAAGCACGAGAATCCATCCTATCCAATAATTCAGGGCCGTTCATTGGAACATAGCGACCTAGAACAAATGCACGATCACCAGAAGAGAACGTCCCCTTTCCAGAACAATCAATTTCCCTTCGAGATAATAACTTGGCCGTTGATATTATTCCTCTGTTGGTACCCATGGACTTGTAGCTTTCACTAAGTCCTGATCTCATTCGGGTCATATGAAAAATATCGTTACGCAGTTTTGCAAACTCATCGTTCACTTGAACTGAGACAGATCCATCAGTATTCTTCCCTTCAGGCTCATAGTATTCATCTTCTAGCCTACTCATGCCATAACCCATTCTTTCAGACTGATGAATTTATCAATTCTCTCTGCAAACGCCTATCAATATTCAGATTCAAAGGTTTGCTTATAAAAATTGGAAAGTTTCCAAGGAACAACGAAATTTGTTACATCTTTGCAATTACATAAAAAGGCACATATCACGTGAGAGCAGCTTATGTTGGCCATGATCGTTGAATGTGCTTCGATTAACTAGAATTCACAAGACCAATTCAAACCTCTGGTTTCTACTCTATATACACCTGGTTTCTACTCTATATACACCCGATAAATTGTGGTATTGCATCATAAAATATATCAAAACAGTGAAACTGCATTTGCGAACATGCAGGAACAAAGGTTTTACTACTGATAATTAATAGTTAACAGGGGCCAACCCAGTAAAGGGCATGGGTATACACATGTACACCCGATAATCTTTGCCAAAAAATAGAGTTAGTAGGCATAATACTACATGTACACTGCACTTGTAATTACATCAGATTCGAATACAAATAGCTTAAGTTAGGGGAAGAAAAGGGGTAGGCGTACCTGGTGGGTGCTCGTCGCCGGCGAAGGGCCCAAAGAAGACCTGAGCAACTGGCGTAGGGCGGCGGCGGCTGTCGCCCAGTCGTCGTCACGAGCCCGCGAGAGAGCGAGCGAGAGGAAGAGCGCGCGCACGCCTGGGGGACGGGAGAACCACGCGAGAGCGAGGGAGAGAGGGAGAAGAACTGGTCACTGGAGTAGCCTGGGCGGACGGGATCTATCTACTCTTATCAATGCAGCAGGTTACTTTGGCCGATGTTCAGGCCATGCACGGTAGCAAAATTATTTTGGTCCGATCGATTGCAGCTGAGATGTCCACGTCTGATAGTAGCCCCTATTTATTAACTCGTACAAAAATATCTATCTTCTCCGAGCGTCTCCTCGTCTGCTCCGTCTCCTCTCCCCTTTCTCCCTCGCTCCCTCCCTCCATCTCTGTTGTGCGACGGCACGCCGGCGCGGGCAGACCTCGGCCGCCCCATCCCTTCCCCCCACCTCCCCGCATGGGTAGGCCCCTCGCGGCACGGCGCGCCGCGGGTGGCGTGGGGCGTGGGCCTCACGCGACGGCGCGGCGCGGGCAGCCAAAGCCGCTCCCCTCCGCGCGAGCTGCTGCAGATAGTCGACGCAGGTCTGCTCTTCCTCGAAACGTCCGCAACCCCAACAGCTCCGGTGTTCCTTGCTTCGTCCTCTCCTTGGTTTGGTCCCTCCTCCCCCTCTCTTCGTACCTCTTCCTGCGGGATCTTCCTCTCCCAACGCTCGCGAAGGCTCGCTCCCCTTCGCTGTGGACGCCAATCTACATGCGGGCGACCTGTTGGCCTCTTATGGAGGAAACCCTAGCTTACTACTACTTTTGTTTTGCGACCTGTAGGGTGTGGCCTCCTCGGTTCTATTGGATCTTGACAACAGGCATTGTTGTGCCATACAGCTGAGCACATGGCCATGTCAACGATATTTGTTTGGTTTCTTTGTGTGCATCCCTGATGATTTTAGGTCTATTGTTTGCATCTTGGGCACCTGCAATGATGACTAACATTTTTCTTGTTACAGTTTAGTTTGAGGGAATGGACTGTTGTTGTGATGATTGCATCGTAATCCATGTTTAATGTCTGATTTACACAGTTTGTATCTCTTTCTTTCTCCCTAGTAACTCAGGCAATGTTTAGCAGCTATGATGATTCTTCCTTTACATCTACCTACTATGTTGATAACTGAGGCAATGATCATGAGCGGTGTTGATTTTGCTTTTTTTCATCTCTTTTTCTGCCTGTTAAGCGATAACTGAGGTGGCTACCTGATGTGGATGCCGTCTCCTTGATGGAACCCCGCTGAAATGCACAGCTTGTGATGTCATTGCCTCTGATGCTTTCTCCTTTTGTCTAATGTAATCATTGTCTTTGGTTTTGCGCTCATGCTTGCTTATGATCATTGTCTGTGATGTCAAAATACATATGGTTGCCCAATCTGAGCTCCTGTTTAGATGTTCCTCTTCATTGTATGCCTCTAATCATTGTCTGTGAACATCGCTTGTCTCCACATATTATACACTGTTGGTTCTGAGCACATGCCCTATTCCCGGAGATTACATTGTCGCATGCTTTGGTTGTCGGTGATCACTTTTTTGGTTCTCCTGTTTCTTTTTGTTCTGACTACACTTTGATTTGTGCTTCACTAAAACTATTACATGAAAATTTTGGTTCTGCTTAAATATAAATTTCTCACACATGTGCGTACAAGATTGTATGGTGATAAAAAGGCCTTTCAATTATGTACCATTGATGCCCTTTCGTTTTGATGAAAAAATTTATGAGGTACCTATTCTAGCAGATTGTTTAGCTGGGCCTGTTACAAATATGCATACCAAATATTTGATTAGTATCTTAACAGTTTGGTGACTATATTTAGCTTTTCGGTCTGCTGTTTATTTTCTTCTTTGTTTGATTTATTTTCACCTCTTGTTCTTTATGGACCAAATGGTTGGCCTTCAGCTATTTCTATTTTCTTTGTTGTTGCTCTGCATTTGTTGTCAAAAAAATGTGCAGAGCCATCCTTTCCATTGCCGCTGCTATTTCTGCCCTGCATTTTTCTAGCAGGTTGCCATGTATAGAGGCATCATCCTTTCCATCATTGTTTATATTTCTGTCGCTGCTGTTTCCCAATAGGCTGCCATGTCAGGGATACCAGGTATCTTATACTATCTAATCTTTTAATCTTTTTCTCCATTCATAACAACTTTTTCTTGAATAGTCTTGTTTGACCATATATCTTCTTTTGGTGAGATTGTGTTTACAAGCTACCAATAATTCATTTTGGTGTGCGAGAGAAAGATGAGTACCTCACATGAGACCATTTGCGGCATGTTTCCTCAACTGCTCAACCAGTTTGTAGTCTGCTGTCAGCATGAAATTTGATGAAGAACCAAATTATTCCTCGTTGATTCCTTTGTTTGGTACTTCAGTTTGACCAAACTCTTCCATCGGTCCATTCTATGCTCATAGAGCCCAAATGGTTCGTTTCAGGCATCACATACTTCATTAGCGAATTCAAGCCAAATCAACCTTTACAATACACATACACCTGGCTTATGTAGTCTTGTTTGTGAACGCATTGACCCTGCAGGTAGGGCAGAAGCATGCCAGGTTGACCATGTAAAAAAGAAGATTCAGCACATTGTCATATCGCAAATTGCTAGGGACCAAAAAGGTTTGTTCTTGCTGCGCATATATGGATTGCATTCTTTTCCCTGTAGCCGTAGTATGTTTGTGCTATCCTATATTTTTTAGCTTATATTGTACCACATGAATGGGCCTCTAGAGTAGACCTCAATAGCAAACGAAAAAATACATGGTCTTCAGAGGCCTAGCCATCTCATTAGTTGCCTGATCTTGACAGCGGAAACGGTGTCTGCGTTCATACAACCTTGATATACAAATGTCATCTAAGTTACATGTCAATTATTTGGTCCTTTTCCTTTCGGAATAAATTTACTCCTACGTAACTCTACGGTGGCTTCAGACACGGTTTGGCCTATGTAGTATAAAATAGTCTTGAAGCTTTTCTTTTCGGCTTTGATAAGAAACTTGAAGGTCCATTCACCTGCTTCTTACTTTTCAATGAAACTATTACCTCCTGTTACCTATTATATTTTTTATCTTTAGTTTATCCTCACATATATGTTAACATATTTCCCTAAATAATGTTTTGGAAATAATTTAGTCTGTCTATTTTTAAATCTGTATTATTTCGGTTATAATAGTGATTTCCGATACGGTAGGATAAGGTGGCGAAGCCATTCTAACTAATCTGGACGTAATGCAGACCATGTAAGAACACCTACATTGAAGAAACAACCACTATACCCTGATAAAATGTCAGTTCACCACACCTCTACACAGCCATCTTAACTCATAGGTCAGGCTTAACCGCTTCGATCGAGTTAAATCATTTTAGGTTATTTTTAGTAAGCGCCTCATAAACAGAGACGCTTTTGCCTACGCGCTTACTAAACATAACCTAAAACGATTTGAGATGGCTTGTCACTAAAAATGACCTAAAAAAAGTTAGTACATCTATGTTTGCACTCATAGAAAAAAATTCTAAAAAAGTTTCTGCTAAGCGCGCGTATAACATTGCAGGTTGGTTAATATAGTGTATGTATCTATATGGAGTTACTTTACATAACGATTATATTTCAATGATACAGGAAAAAACAAAACGGTTGAGAAACATACACAGACCAGAGCATCGAATCAACCAAAAAGAACACCAGCCATTCCCCATCAGAATCCCCAGCAAAGAGGTGATTTCCTGGAGCACTATAGTACATAGCTACATATTATAGCACCCAGAACAGAACAGCAGAAAACATCAATTTTAATGTAAGACTTCGGCGTGCACTATGAACATTGGTTCATTAAATTTAGAGGTGCAATGTCATATTAATGTATACTATATCTACTACCGTTCCAAGGTTATGCCAGTTAGATACTATTCCATGCTCATGCTATTTGAGCATTTCCCCATGCCTATGATAATCACAAATGCCACACAATTCAGCTTAAATTGTTTTCTTGTAGTCAATCTTCTTCTCTATTGTTGGCAGAAATGACCTATGTGTATCTTGATGAGGATTACAGGGTTCACACAGGTACTGCTCGCAGCCTTCTTATCTGATAATCTACAACATTATCTATTTAGCATCTTCCAAATTTGAAATACTTCGATGCTTCTTTATGATTCAGACCAATCAGGGTTAGCACTATAATAATAGTGCCATACATGTACGGACAGTTTCTACCCACCATTTCATGTTTTTAAACATTTTAGTTTATTGTAATTGTCCATGCACGCATCGTGTATTCTTAGGTATATACATATCCTGGATATAGGAACTGAATTAAAATTTCTTCTATGTATGTTTCTAAACTTTCTTTTGGTACCTGCAACAGCCCATTTAGTCACATAATATTTTAGATTTAA